CTGTTTGTGTTATAGAGATTGAAATTGGAAATATATCTTCAGTTTTCTAAAAAAAAACAGTAGGAAGAGTTCACTTAATATGAAAATGTAATATAACAATAAAAGTAAATGTACTACTGATCTTATTTCTGTACTTGTTGCAGTTTTTTGGTGTTGTACAAGTCATCTGTGTAATTTGAAATCACTAGGTTCTTTCCTATTGTATTAAAACATAACATAGATTTTATGTACAGCAACAGCTGCTTTTATGTCCCATAATTCTAAAACACGTTTGTTTGTACTATACTTATAAATTTAGCTACACATGCTGCAAGATTCTATCACGGGGCAAAGTTTCAGCAATGTTGTAAACAAAATGATTTTGAACACATAAACAGTTCTAAATGGAAACCAATGAAATGTGCATAAAAATGCCATGAAACCATAATGGTGAAAAAGTGTGTTATCAAACTTGATACAGAACTTGAATAACAAATGTTAGTGGATGTAAACAAGTAACATATTCTGGATGTACCTTTAATTGACAACTTTTTTGTAATATATACATATAAACTAAAACTTGTAGTCTAAGTATTTTATGTGAAGCAATAACTCAGACTTAAAATATAAAAACACAACATTTTAACTGAGAAATATAATATATGCACAATATTGCATTAAACATATGCTAATAGTCTAAGCACAAAAAAGTATTTGTATGGGGATTTGAAAAATAAAGTTTCTCAGTCTCTATAATTTTTCCTGTGATCTCAAGCCAGTCTTGTATGTTACACAAAGCTTAATTTGTTTTAGATATTAACCATAAACACGATTGTTACATTGTATTGGATGAGACTATTACAAGAATTTCTGTACACATTCTTTATACAGTAGTTTACCACATTACTAAGTTGGAACAATCAGGATTTTGTTGACAATTGTGATTGGTGTAAATGTATGCACTGGTTTATGCTCATTATTGAATTCCAGCAAACAGAGATGAATATTTATACATCAATAAGGATTGAAGAAGTCAGAAAATTTTTGTTAGTCATACAGACTATCAATCTGAAACGATTACACAACTAGTCAACAGTTCATTAGTAAATTAACAGCAAAGCTCTACAGAACTTACGACTACCATTTTCAAACTGACCACAGCATGGATGGAACTATTTGGGAGTCATCTACTAAATAAATAAACTTACTGATATATAAACTAGATCAATTTTTTCAAAAGTAACAAATGACTGATCATAGGGAGAAATTGTCCCTTCCCAATTTTTGCATTCCCCTTCTATTGCAACTGCTGCCATACTTTTGGTGTTGGTATTAGCCCTTTAGCAAACTGTTAAAACTTAAAATCCTGTGAACAAAAATATGAACATATCACACAACTAATTTTATTTAGATTTTTTTACTGAATTTTAAGTAGTCTGGAAACCTTTTCACATATAAAGGAAAATTATTAGAGAAGTGAAAATTGGAGCTACAACCACTGGCTTGTGTATGTTATTGAATCAATTCTAGAATTAATCTACATCTAATTCACGTCATTAGAAACTCCTCACAGTGCTTATTCTATTTATTTTTATCTAAACACAGGTAGTTTCAACCAAAGTCATTAAACATATGGTAAAAGTCTAAGCACAAAAAGTATGTATACAGTAAAGGAAATAAATATGGAAACACTGGTGAAACATACTGTATTACAGGAGAAAGATCTGTTTCATATAAACACAGAAACTTAATTAGGTCTACAACACGCTGAACCATAGTTAGAGCATATAAATACACAGCAGAATACATTAGTAGTTGGTAAGACTTTTACTTCCTTTAGAGCAGGACATCTGGTCAACATTCTGTCACAGAATACGTTGATGAAAGTACATATTTCCTTCAAATGTACTGTAGCATGTCAATATTTCTAAAGCTCACTTGGTTGCCTGTTGATCTCCTCTACCTATTTAGTTCTAAATTTCCTCAATGATGTTTAGATCTGAACTCTGGTCAGGTCAAAGCAGGAGTTCCAAAATGTAAACAAATTGCATACAATTGTAACTAGTATGATTCATAGTAAAGTAAGGCTAAATGAAAAACAGTAACACTATCCTTTCCTGCTATATTTGTACCATATTGGTTATATCTTTAAGATCCTTTCCTGCTACATTTGTACCATATTGGTTAGATCTTTAAGATCCTTTCCTGCTATATTTGTACCATATTGGTTATATCTTTAAGATCCTTTCCTGCTACATTTGTACCATATTGGTTAGATCTTTTAGATCCTTTCCTGCTATATTCGTACCATATTGGTTATATCTTTAAGATCCTTTCCTGCTACATTTGTACCATATTGGTTAGATCTTTAAGATCCTTTCCTGCTACATTTGTACCATATTGGTTAGATCTTTAAGATCCTTTCCTGCTATATTTGTACCATATCGGTTGTGTCTTTAAGATCCTTTCCTGCTATATTTGTACCATATTGGTTAGATCTTTAAGATCCTTTCCTGCTATATTTGTACCATATTGGTTAGATCTTTAAGATCCTTTCCTGCTATATTTGTACCATATCGGTTGTATCTTTAAGATCCTTTCCTGCTATATTTGTACCATATTGGTTAGATCTTTAAGATCCTTTCCTGCTATATTTGTACCATATTGGTTAGATCTTTAAGATCCTTTCCTGCTATATTTGTACCATACTGGTTATATCTTTAAGATCCTTTCCTGCTATATTTGTACCATATTGGTCAGACCCTTAAGATCCTTTCCTGCTACATTTGTACCATATTGGTTAGATCTTTAAGATCCTTTCCTGCTACATTTGTACCATATTGGTTAGATCTTTAAGATCCTTTCCTGCTACATTTGTACCATATCAATTATATCTTTAAGATTATTTTTAAAAAAATATCCTGCTGAAGCACAAACCACTGGCTAATTAGGTGTGTTTCTAACTGAATGCTATAGTGTATTAGAATCTTGCTCTTTGTTTTGTTTGTCATAAAGATTTACTATGTTTCCAACACCGTTTGAGGAGGTGCTACCCCCATGTTGCATTGATTCTCTTCCATGTTTCTTTGAAACTGTTTTATTTCATTTTTGGAATACACTGCTATTGATTACTGATGAACAACTCAAATTTGAGCTTATTGGCACACATTTCCACAATCGATTTCATTTTTTTTGTTGGCTACCTCTACACACCAAAGATTTTCATGTAGTTAAATATTCAAAAAGACTGACTTGAGTCAGTTTGTTTCTAACTATTCTTGGGTAGTTGTACTTGAACCCAGATTACTGACCTGATCTCTACTAGAACCTTTTAATACAAGTTTGAGTATTCTTACACGACGGGGTTGTTATTAATAGTGCCAAATTCTCAAATATGCAAAACATCTTGAATACAGTACTCACTGAAACATGTAGTTTGGCTTAAGTCTATCATGTGAAATAACTCTCACCATACAAAATGGTAGTTGTTACATGCTCATCATGAAATATTTCCTTCCTGAATGCCAAAGCTTCTTTAACACACATACTGGGGAAGTGCTTGATGTGAGGAAAACAAATAAGATCAAAAAAGTCAAATTAAAGACAAAAATAAGAAACCCTATAACCTGAACACTTTTGAAAGATACTTTTTTTCATCAAAGCATTCGGATTACAAGGTTTCTTACTTTTGTCCATACTGGGAAAATGGTATTGATGGTTGTGTCTATATAGTCAGTAAGCTGATGTGTCATTCTCTGATTGGTTATACATCAACCAGTCACAGAGTGACATAACAACATAGTTGTTCTACTACATTGTTCATGGGGTGGTTGGCATATGCTTTATACTGATTTTTGTGTATAGTTTTAATTTTTATTTCCACTACTGTATTTTTTAATACTTCACATTTTTGAAAGTTTTATCTCTATTGTAAACCACTTAACATTAATAAGAAATTGTCCCATTGTTCTTCAACTAATGCTGTGGCCCTTCCATTCTCTTATCTATGGTCTTTACTTCAACTCTACAATTTTCAATATTGTGGCCCTTCCCATTCTTTCTTTCTTCTTTGATTTTTACTTCAAATGTACAATTTTCAGTGATATGGACCTTCCAAAGTCCCTTCCAAAACTTTATTCAAATGTATAGTTCTAACTGTTGTGGAGCTTTCATTCTCTCTTCTATGGTCTATACTTCAATCACATAATTTTCACTGCTGTGGTTTGTTTCAAATTTTTTGTGCAAAGCTACATAAAGGGCTACCTGTGCATAATTTTGAAGCAAGACTAAAGGGAAGGCAGCGCCTACAGCCAACACTTGAACTAATGTTATCGCAACAAATAATGGGATCCGACAATCACTCTTATAGTGCATTCTTGGCCATAAAGAGAAAAGTGTGCTTCTGAAGCAACAGGACACAAACCCTGAATCCTTAGGTTCACAGTCTGAGCCACTTAACACAAGAACACTCACTTCTGAAGACCTTTTATTCTTCTCTTAATTGTTGTTGCTTCAACAGTCCAATTTAAGTGGTGTGGACCTTCCAGAGTTCTTTGTAGTGTCTTTAATTCAACTGTATAATTTCAATTGCTATATACTTCCCACCTTTTTCTCTCTCTAGTCTTTACTTTAACAGTAAAATTTTCACTGCTGTAGAACTTTCATAACTGTTTAAATTTCACTGATGTGATTCTTTCAAATATATCTTGTATGTTTTTTATAATCCTAACAATTGCTAACTCAAGATACATTTTGATGAAAAATTTACATTAATGATAATCACTACTGTACAGGATATTTCCATTACATAGAACTTAAAATAATGAGGGTACCTTCCACCAGTACTGTCTCAATGATAATTCTATATGCAAAAGAATATTTAAATAAGGTACACTTTCCCTCAATATGTAGTTTGAGGATCCTGCTATAGTAGTTAATACTGTATCATGCAGTTGAATTTCTGTAAACAGTAGGAGATCACTAAAATGAAAAACACTTCATGAGAAGATAACTGTACTTACCAGATGTACCTTCTAACCCAGAATCAAGTTGGAACCCTTCTTGAAATTCATTTTCTTTTTTCACATTCATAACGTCATCATTTACACAAGCCATGTCATCATCACTTTCAGTGAACTTAGAAATAACATCAACTGGTTGTAAGTCATCAGGCTGCTCGGTTCTCACATGGACAAACATATTCTGAAATAAAAAGATCACATTCAGATAATCAGTAAAAAAACAAAAAATTATGTCAACACAAAAGTAAACAAACAAATCTTATCACATTACTAAATGTAAAACCATAACTGGAATTTCTGGTGTAGATTAATATCCGTAAAGTTTCCTCAGATAGACGGGTTTTAGCTAAGCATAAAACTACCTATGATGAAAAACACATGTAGTTTTGAAAGGGTTCTGTATTTACATAATGCATCTGGCAATGTTGTCAATTGGTAAAGTAACTACTAATACTATTAATAACACTTCAGTCTCAAAATAAGATGAAAATTTAGAATACAAATACAAATTTAAATATAAACTTGACATAAAATATTTTCACTTACTTTGGAGATTTTCATTCACCTACACATTAATGAACACACAATAATGTAAACATTTAAAAACTTAAAATATTTTTAAATGGAAATAAATTTGAAAGATTTCTTACAAAAGCTACATTATCTGAAATTTTCAAACAGACAAGACTTGAATAGACAAAAATAAGAAATTAAAATAAATTTTCAATATAAAACATACTTAAAAAGAAACAATTGAAAATTACAATAGCAATTAAATTTTGCAAATCATTACAGTGTAGGTAAATATGTGCATGTCATCAAAAATCTACATTTCAGCTTTTTTCAGACTATATATATCCCAGCTATTTTTCTAGAGGCTTCATGTTGAGCTTGTTCTTGTTTTTCTCAAGTTATCATAGGCTTATGGAGATATTTTTTCCCCCCTTTTGAAGAAAACAAGACTGACATAAACCAGATTTACAGTTTTGTTTAAAGAAAGAAAAGCAACTTTCTTCTAATTTTTATAATAATTAGCTCTCTCAACAACATTTTCAATTAAAAGTGGCAAGGGAAGAATGAGAATGTTTTTCCTGGACTGAGAATCTCAGAAGCTCCAACTGAGTTTGACAAATGCAGTTCCTGAGACAAAATTATGAAACTGATTACCAGCTGTGATTTACATAAATGATCACAATAATAAAAAGCTGGTAATAAAAAGTTAATACATTACATTGTTTGAGCTTTCAAATACCATTTTCAAAACCACATGGAAGAAAATATACTAATACTCTTTTCATTAATTTTAATAGCATGTCTTTACAAAAATAAATTTTAAGAGTATATTAGGTAAAGAATGCTGCCTAGAAACCCTACATAATAAGTATTTCCCACAACTGCCATGAAATTACATTCATTTTCAAACTGAAACTGAAATAGCTAAAAATATATTTTCAGGTTTACTGTTTATTACACTGACTTTCTTCAAGCTGTGATAACAAACATTTTCAGCCCTCAATGGATACCATGCAAAGAAGTCCAGAAAAATTCAGTTAAAAATATTACAGTGCCTTAAGATAAAACACAGTAAATTCATCTTAGACAATCATTGTTCATGAAATTTTCATGATATAAATACCACCTAGACCACTACTATGTCTGTCATATCCCAGCTGGCCTGACGAGTCCTGGTACTAGGCAAATGGCCTTGTCAGCAATGGATATAGCAGATGTAGTTGTGGATATATAATATAATCACTTTTACTTTCACTCAAAAGTTCACAGAAGTAACATCAGAATTAGAAAACATTCTTTTCTATAAATTACCTCAGTCATTCCTGTTACTTCATCATGGTTTTCATTTTGCTCCTCTTTTGCTACTTTAAAATCAAATACTGAATGTGGAGATCCTTCCCCAAGAGAAGCAGCCTCTCCTGATGCTAGAAGTAAAAAAAAAATTTTTCTCTGTAAGAAGCTTGAATATGACCATCAAAATTATAAAACAAAATGTTGCTATGAGCCGTTTTAAGTTGAAATCTGCTGATTAGCAAGTTGACAGATTACCACATCACTATGGCCTATCATCAATTAATCAATGTTTTTTACTAATTAATTCAACAATGTCAGCGTTAGGTAAGTCAGTGCCCTATGCAGCTGAGATATTCATGCCTACCTCACACTTACAAAAAGAAAATTGGATAATTGTGTACCTACTTCATATAACTTACTTGTTTTTTAAACACTTTGGTATGAACTAGTATTCAGATGGTGAGTTGAATGCAGAAGTAAAACTGTATATGGTGCAATTTTCATGTCTTTATATTCCAATTTATTTCTTATATATCACAAGGTATTAAATACATAATATGAAACAAACACAGAGCATACACTCTAAACTGTTCAACATCCAAAATTTCTCTCCAATCACAACTTCAAAACCCTTAGAAATAACATAAAATTCAAAATTATCTTTTAAATCTAATTTTTTCTTTCAGTTTTGACAAAATATAAATGTTTTTCTCTTCTCTCTCTCTCTACTCAACCTTTTCATTGAAAAGATGCACATTTTAGCAGTCTTAGCTTTGTGTGCTATGTTCTAACTATGCCTGGTATTATTACATTCCTTTTATGAAATCTTTATCTTAAACATACACATACGTTTCAAAATAGTGAAGACATGATTTATGAACCAAAATCCACGATCTCAGACAATAAGAGTGAAGTAACAAAGAATAAAGTTGGTTCAGTTCACCATTCAAATGAAAACGAGAAGTTTTAAAATGTACACTATTCAAGCTTAAGCTGAAGTATCAAAAAAAAAAGAACATGCTGCACAATTTAAAAGCAGCACAGGAAATGTTTGTTTGTTTGTAGTTAAGCATAAAGCTATACAATGGGCCAGGTGAATTCAACCCAGAGGGGTGATGGGAAAAGTCACAGGAGAGGTGAGAATTTCACAGAAGAAACAAACTGACTCAGGAACAACAGAAGGGAGCAGTACATGTCATATACCCTCAGAGATGGAGTGCATAATCATGTCAATAGACATGAAATGGCAACAATCATCAGGAGAAAGGGAAGAAAACACCAGGTGAATGAACTGGCAAATTCAACCCAGAAGGGTGACAGGAAAAGTCACAGAAGATTGGTCATAACTGACCAAACCAATTCACATTGGAAGTGGGGAAGACAGGTTGGAAATGAGAAGTCATGTGTCATCGTCCAGTTACAACCAACAACAGATCCACCTGGAACCAATATTTGGGGAACAGTAGGAAGAAGGACCACAATTTTGAGGTTGCATCTCCAATCCAAAACCTGATGGTTGTTGTGAATTTATCATCCAGTCTGCAGTAGGAGGAAGGTACCAGCTAAACAAATGTGAGGACTTATGTGGCTGGACCAACACCAACCCCCAAAACCGACATCCGGAGAGGCAAACTGCATTTTTGTTATTTTTCTATTTATATATATATATATATGGTTGAGTACTACAACCAACACCTGGTGGCAGCTGGAATTGTACATCAGGTCTGTGGTAGGAAGGGCATCACGCCATTGACACCCACAGAATGCCACCATCCTACTTTCAAACTGAGTGGTATTGTGCACACTCAGGAGGACAGGCCTTCATGGTACAACACCCCAGCAGCTAGAAACTGGTAAGTGGCAAGGACTCCCATACTCCAACAGAAGGAGGAAGAAAATAATGTGTTAGAGAGTCCATAGGATCACAGCACCTGAGACAATGCAGTGGGTGACCTCAAAACCCTAAATTGAAAAGCAGAGCAATCACGTTAGCGGAGTGCATCATCCAACACCTGGCGGTGTCTGGAATTGTACGAATCATCAGAGATAAGCAAGCACTCCCCATCTGCTTTACTCATATTAGTCCATTAGTGTATGGTCCAGAACAAACATATTTATGAAGCAAAAGTCTAAGTATACATGGTTAGGCAACACTCACCAAAGAGTGGGATCCAAATATGCAATTAAGGAACCTGCAACGAAAATGAACAGAGTACTTAAAACCCCAGATAAACTGTTACAGCATTGATGATGTCTCCCAAAGGAAGATGGAAATGTGAAGCCAGGGACATGATAAGGTAACAGATCTGATGTGAAGAAAACACCAGGCAAATGAACTGGCGATTTCAACCCAAAAGGGTGATGGGAAAAGTCACAGGAGAGGTGAGGATTTCACAAAAGAAACAAACTGACTCGGGAACAACAAAAGAGAGCAGTACATGTGATATACCCTCAGAGAGCCCTGACCTGACAAACGAGGTGTGTGGACAAGAACATTCTAGAAGGGAAGGGATGTAACACAGGAAACAGGAGATAAGTACAGAACATAACATACTTGAATAACAAATCTACCAAAGGCATATTCGGAGAGGGGAGGAGCTGTCCATATCAAAACTAACAGATCACTGAAAACCTTGTTAGGACAATCATGATTGTAGCACTGGATAGATTATTTAAACCATGAGTGAACATGTATAATCAGTGGGATTGCCAATTGAGAAGTGATTAACACGTGCATGATTAGAGAGGGTGCTAGTTACAATAGGGGTAATGTCACACTCCTATTGGTGGAGGGTTGCTGCATGATTATTTGCACCTTAATATGCAGTAATAAGTGGGAGTAACAAGGCTAGTGGTGAGCAAAGAGTTGTGCCAATAGAGGGCAATACAAGTTGAGAAAGCTTTTGTTAAGTGAAAGTAAGATGTCATATTGGAAATGCTGTTTCTGACATTGTTGCTAAAAATATGCTAGATTTGGCATGCATACACTTGCCACTGTTAACATGTCAATGTGAAAACATTACTATACTTTCATGTACTATGAAAGATCTATATATTATAATGGTGTCAAAGGCTATCAAAAGCATACATTAATGTGTTTCTATAAAAATGTGATAGATTGTGATGAACAAGTCAACTAAGATATAAAAAACTTAAATTTTTTTATCTTTACAGAATCGCAAAATCATATTTAAAATTTTATTTTATTTGAAATAATAAACCTATACCTATTATCATGATAATGGTTCCAATTAACATCTAAATATTTATGATGCTTATATACTGTTTCTATTGTTTCTGTCATGTACGTTTGGTATGCATTGATTATGTTATTAAAATTTCTAAGTCAGTTTTACGTTTTATCAATTTCACTGTAGTAAAGTCTGTTTGTTTATAGTTAAGCATAAAGCTATACAAAGAGTATAGTATTGAAACCCGGTTTCCAGCAGCATAAGTCTGCAGACATACCACTGTGCCACTGGAGGGCATATTGTAAAGCATAAATATATTTATCTACTTGTAATCAGCCTCAGATGTCTAATCATTTCATTATATAACCACCAAAACAAGACATGCATTATATGAGAGGCAGTGTTTGGTACTTTTATTACATATTAGACTAAATTACTCAAAGTTGAAAAAAATAACTACAATTGATAATTTTTTATATATGAAATAGAGCAGGTCATGATGAATACAATTATGATTAAGCTTAATGTGTTGAGTTAAACAAGTGTTGATAAAGTTTCACTTTCAACTACAACAAATGTGGCACTTCTATTGGTGCTCACATGCCTATTGCAAACAATCACCTGTACTACTGAACATATTTCTGTTTCTTGATAACATTAACAATATATATATATAGATGAGCAATCATTAGACTGAAATGCATCAGCAAATCCATTAACTACCTTTTGTCCACAGGCAACAAAACCAAAAGAAACCGACTTCAGCCAATTTGTCTCTAGCTGTTCTTGAACCCAGATTATTGACCAGATCTCTAATAGAACCTCACCTACCTTGTAAGAAGAATACCTAGAGTCACTTGAGATCACTGGTGGAAAGTTTGAACTTTCTTATATGACAAGCTTATTATTAATTGTGCCAATTTGTCAAATATGCAAAACGTCTTATATACAGTACTCTCTGAAACATGTAGCTGGGCTTCAATCTATCATGTGGAATAACTCTCACCATCTAGACACAGGATTTACATCACAAGCCAATATTATTGAGTAAAAACATAAACCTAATATGTGTGCACTTAAAATTGCATGAACTTGTGTATTTGTTCATGTAGAACTAAACAACCTTAAGATTTTCATGGAAAATATAGTTTTGTTATTGATATGATAAACATTTTGTATGGCTACTTAAACACATTTGAATGAAACAGTTGAGATATGATGGACTAAAACTAACTGAATCAGTTGTTTTGTTTTATATAGAAAAACATTCTCTGTATGTAAAGACAAACGTGTAAGCTTGCTCACAGAGCTACCCACAATTACAGATTAGATGCATTAAACCAAGGCATGTCTTACAATGAATGATCACTTTACCAAAACCTTCACCTATTATCAAGGAGAACTACCTTTCACCACAATAATAGCTTGGGTCACTGTGGATAAACTCCTTCTAGACACCTGAACATGTTGGAGATTAGCCCATTCGCCAAACATTATGAATAGAAATTCTCTCATAGTTGTCAGAAATGAAAAATAATATCATATGAAAAATTCACATCTATTCTAACCTTGCTCAATCAGATTGGGGTCCAGCAATTGCACTGGTTCAAAAATATGACTGAAGCAAATGAGAAGCTGTTGGAAACAATGATGGAGAACATTAGAGCTTTGGATTGGTTCAAATGATCTTGAAAAATATTTTTTCATCAGTGTTGACATAAAGCATTATGGAGATAAGCTTTAACAGTGATAACATTCTGATGCAAACAGGATGGTTTTCATTTCTTTAGAAGAATGAAATAACCATTTCCACATCATTAGTACATCTCTCTTACCATTACATCACCTTTAGCATTTTGTTACAAGTAGGGTCAAATGTCTTGTGTAATCTGATTCCATACTTTTATCCTAATATCATTATTAAGATGGTGTAAATGATTCAACAGATCACCTTACAGAGATTTACACTCTAAGCATAACTAGATGCATGTTTTTCTGTTCGAATTTGAGATGAGCAGAATTGCCAGATGATAGATTATAATGTCTTCATGAGGTATTTTTTTCCAAGTTAGGGATGGCTAGCACAGATAGCCCTTGAGCAGCCCTAATGAAATCTCCCAAATAATTCCTCTCATTTGACTTTAAAGATGCATCTCATTGGAGATATGGATACTTGTAATCTTCGTATGGAAGGAAATGCTTTGCAACTAGTATCTAGAATGACCACTTTCTTTGTTTTGAGATTTTTGACTACATTTACAAGTTTGTATCTAGTCTGACTACCATGAGATTGGTATTTCTCAAACTTATTGTGCAAGAAGAAAGGCTTCTCCAAACTTTTAATGAAAGGCAACCTTTTGGCTAATGCATGGTTATCACATTCATTGAAGAATTAAGATAAAAGTAATAGATAGTGAGATCTTCTTGAATAAACTAGCCCAAATATCAAGTAAAATGGTACTGATAAGTGAAAAATCTCACTCTCAAGTATTAATTTAAGTGTGCATTCTACCATGTTTGAACATTCTCACAGTATCAGTGATACAGGGATATATGCTTTGAAACTCTTAATTTAGACAATAATTTCTAATTTTATTTCAGCAGTGGTTCCAGACTTTGCAATCATGGTGAGAACAACTTGTCCACTGGTGAAGATTTACTAAAACAAAAAGTAATAACATATAAGAAGATTAGCATTTATTGTTACCGTTAGATTTTTATGTGGCCCAAGTTGATGTTCATCATTAACTTCTGATCAAAGTTAGCTACCTACATAGCTTAAAACTAAAAATTAGCCCAATACCTTTTAGAGTCGATTCAATATACCATTCTAAGTATAAAGTTGTAAAAAAAATATTAAAATGGATAGGGTACAACTTGATCTTTGAAGGGGTGAACCTTAGTTCAGCCAGTTCGTTATAACATTTTGTGACACAAAACAGGCAGATATCTACTTTATATATAAAGCTTAGTCTGTAAGAAAGTGGACAGTAACATAGATTGTAAAGATTAATTATTTACCAGCAGTATCATTGTTAATGGTCATTTCTGGATTTGCTGTTCAAAGTCAGTTGTCATCAGAAGTTTGTTGAAAGTGCCAAACGACACAGAAAGTTATGTCTACTGGAGCAAAATTAGAAGTGTAAATTACTGGCAACTGAACTAGAAAAATGATAGCTCGAAAGGCTTGTTAAGTGCCACAGACAGTTGTGACTAGGTTGATTTGATCAAAAGTGTTCAAATATCGTTGTATTGATAAAAATTAGCGCAGGAGTTTCCAGTGGGTGATGTTGACGAGCTGCCTTCCCTCTAGTCTATCAACAGATCAAAGGACGAGTGTGTTTAGTGAGAAATTTCGATCTCAACCCACAGATTGAGAGTCAAGGACCCTGACCATCAGGCCAAGTGATAGGGACTCAAGCCAACATTGCTCTGGAAGATGAAAGAAATTTTGGATATGAATCCTCCTACAAGAAATATCATTGAGAGACTGCCAAAGTTGGCTCAGTAGCAGTCACATCTCCTATTGCTGTCTGTGATAGCTAAAGCAGAAGCTGAATGTAGTGTCAGTCTGTACAATCTCATTGTAACTTGCAGATGCTATATTATGTTACCTTTACAAATTTGTGTTGGTCAATAAATAACTTTTTTCAAAAGTTACAGTATGGAAACTATGACAGTTACTTTATGGTTACAAGGCTAATCACACCAAATTGCCCCTTATGGAATAAGTATGGTTATGTACAAATAATATAATGAATACTATATATAGATGTCTCACTAGATTTTGGTTTGAGAAATCACTAGATTAAACAACAACTGACTAAGAACATTCTACTATTACTGTTAGTTATCTGTGGACCAGAAGAGTAAGCAACTTTGTTCTTATAAAATAAATTCCAAATCAATAGTGAACAAAGGAATTTTTGCTTATTAATGCAAAATCTAAATCTAAAGAAAAAAATTAAATTATAAAAAAGTTGTACTTACAGTTACATGAAGTTTTTATGGTTTCATTTCTCAGTAACTTGACATTTGACAAAAAATTCTGTTCCTCATCAGGAAATGGTTCAGCATTTACACTATCTGATTCCTCATCAGAATAGGGTTCAACATTGGTCTCTAATACTTCCATGGTTGAATCAGCATTACAAGCAGCTTAAAATTGCAGTTAAGACTAGAAAAGAAGGAAAATCAAAATTTAAAAATCAGAAAATGTAATCTTTTAATATTTTACCATCAAATCTTTTAAATGGCAAAAACTCAATTTACTTCAAATATGAAAAATGTAGAAAGGGAAGATACTAATAAAACTAGCTAAACTAGATCACTCAAATTATCTAGTTAGTGATTTCAATTATCTTTATTTTTAAGTTTTACTTTTTCACACAGATTAACCTCTGACTCATAACGTTTTGTTTGTTGCTAAGCAAAAAGCTACAAAATGTACTATCTGTGCTGTGCTCAACATAGATACCGAGACCCAGTTTTTAGTGTTGTAAGCCTTCAGACTTACTGCTGAGCCACTGGGGGTCTATTCATAACTACTATGCAATAATGTACGAGAAGTACAACCATTGCACTATAATCTAAATAAAAAAAGCCTAATATGGACTAATCATAAATGTGTGTAGAAGATATTGCTGTCCATAATGGTATTCATTACTAGAAGTACAACCATTGCACTATAATCTAAATAAAAAAAGCCTAATATGGACTAAAACTAAAAAAAGATATAATCATTATTTAATGCTTCAAACTCATGTGTATGTGTGTATACACTTATACACATATACAAGTACTGAAAATAATTAACCCCTAAATAAACATTTCCCTCCTTCAAACAGTGCTTTTATGTTGTGTACATATTTGATACAGATGTGTGAAACTTCCTTATTTCATAAAAAACGTCTCCCTCTTTTGGGAGTCTGGCTTCACTCTTGAACAATTGTTTTGTTTTTTCAAAATA